CTTTATTTCCGGATGATCCACATTTCTTTTTTTATTATTTTTTTTTCGAAGAACTTCAATAAAATTGGAATCTTCATCATCAATGGATGACCGCATTGCAGTTTTTGATAGTAATCCTTTATTTATTTTGCAATGATTTTTTGTTTCATTGTTATTTTGTGTTGAAGAGACCATGTGGCCAATCAACACTTAAATAACAAAATATTCAATATTCTATTATATTTTTATATTTCGAGTGAAAAGATTTCAACACGATAATTAAAAATAGAATTACTTAAAATTAACAATCAGAATGCTGGAAATTGTTAACAACTTATTTAAATAAATCAGTCTAAATTCACGAACTCGACTTACTTCGATGAGATATCGATCGAAACTCCAACCTGAAGTGCTTAAGAGTATAAGCTTATAAATAAATAGCAAACAATTTTTTGTCGAATGCAGAAGAACGAGTTTCAGCTGATGATAATTTTTTTTAGAAAAGAAAGAGATTGGTTTGCCAGGAAAGAGATGCGTCTGCAGTAAAACGTGGATGTAGTAAAGCTGAATCGCTTCGGTCGCATGGGTGTAGTAAAAACGATGCTGACGAAACATTACAGTCCTCCGACCACGTGTACTCGGTTTTCATTTCTGTAAGCCATTAGATGAAAATAGATGGGTGTCAACAATTCTGTGAGATTTGAGATAAACGGGTGGTAGTAATTTACCATTCCCACAAAACACTGAGCCACTTTGATTGATTGGAGCGAAATCACGAATGGTAGAGCATCTTTCGTTGGATGGCCTAATGCCTTCTCTAGTAATAGTATGTCCAAGAAAATCAATTTTTAATAAACATTTATTTTGTTTAATAGTCAATCCGAACTTTGCTAGCCTACTCGCTACTACAATATCATCTATGTAGACGAAAGCGAAATCGAATCCAAATAACACCTGTAAGAATAAAATGCTGTAAGGTTTGAGCCGCGTTCCTTAAACCGGGAATCCTCATGCGGGGATTTCAAGTAATCCAAAAGGTATTATAATTGCAGTTTTATGAACATCTTCTGTGGTTCCAGGTATTTGATGATACGCCCTAAGCAAATTGATTTTCGAGAATATCGTGTAGCCTTGCGCTGAAACTGTGTATGTGGCATCTGTGATGTTTATCATGCACCGTTAACGCATTCAATCTGCAGTAATCTCCCCGGAGGCGACAATCCACAGAGTCCTTTTTCGGCACCAATTATAATGACGATGGAACAGATGATGACGACGGCCTACAAATCATTAACTATATCATTAGTTTAAATTCTTTCTTTCCGATTCCATTCTTCTCACGATTTAATTTTTTAGTCTTGAATAGTGGGTGAAATGGGGCACAGCCGTCAGGCGTGCAAATTCGTTTAGTAAATATTTAGTAAATGATTTTACTTTATAATTTTTTATGACAATCTTATTAATATCAGTCTATGTAAGATCTTCGACGCTTGCACAAGAAAGAACACACAAAAAGATAACGAAAAAAAACTAGCAGTAAAAGAAAAATAGAAAAAGAAAAAAATATATATTCCCATTTATATGTATATATATTATATCGTATTAGCAACTTATTAAATGTATACCGATTTTCTGCAAAACTAATAAAAATAAAAAAAATTAAAGTTTAATTAAAATTTAATTTTCGTTTTAATAGTAAAAGTATTCGTTTTAATAGTAAAAGCAATACCCTATTTTATAACGCAGCCAGAGCTGTTAATTTTACTTCAATTGTAGTTTTTTACTACACTTTGGCATTCTATACTACCATACTACTGCAAAACCACTTTTATTACTTTTTTGCAATAATACTAGAAAATGTCATTATTAGCATTCGTTTATGAAAATGTCTTTTGTATTGTTGCTACAAAAGCCACTTGTACAACAATAAAAAATTAAATTTGACACCTTATTGAAAATCGTCTAACGTTGCAAATTCATATTACTGAAATCTTGCAACCATTGCTGTTGTTAATACCTAATTCAGCAATAATCACTTTATTATAATTGTTTTTAGATCGATTTCGACAGTTCATTGAACCTTTAAATTTTTTCTAATTTTAAATACTGTTTAACTCATTTCAATAAATTTTTATGTAAAATTATATGTATGTAAATTTATAATTTCCAATTTCTTATATTCTCTTACATATTTTCTTACTGTCTCTTAAACTTAATTTTACTGTTTTTTTAAATTAACATTAGAATGTTTTAAATTCTAAAAATTCCGTATACAAAAACACTGTCGAATCGTTCATACATAACATAGTTGATATTATTAAAAAAATCAAAAAATATAAAAATAATTAAGTTATAAATAATTTTTCTTCAATTATTTCTATATAATTAATTTTGCAAAAAAGTCGTATAAGTTTTAGAATCACCCTGAATAAATTAAGTCGGAGTCAAACCATTGGAAGTTCTACCTAGACTATTTTTTAAAAGTAATGTGAAATAATCCTAATTCTATCAGTAAAAGTAGTTCATTGTAGCTTCTAAATTTGAGTTAAATTATTTAAATTGTGTTAGTGGTGTGAAAACTCTTAAAACATTTATTTTCAAGTGGCACTATTAAAAATATAAAAATTTATATAAAACAAAAAAACTGTATATTATATGAGTATATATATATATAAATAAAAGAAAAAGTTTAAATGTGCTGGTAGAGTTTCGGTTACGCGGTTTATTTTAGAGGACTTCATCAGGATACTAGGCACGTTGTGAAACCAGGTGGAACATCTTTAATGCAATTGCAAGTAATCGCGGCAGTATGCACAATTTTATATGTCGGTAAGATTTTTCAATTTATATATACATTGAAAAGTTTGGAATTTAGTGTTAAAAGAATATTCACATTTGTGATGTGTTTGCTTAATTTGATGATGATTTAATTTAATGAGAAATGTCGCATATTATAACAAAACATAATTTGAATTTTTTCAACTTCTATTCAAAATTAATACGTATATTTAGTTTATATTAAAAATCAACTACAGAATTTCAAGCTTCAACATAATAATTTATTATCAAACCATCAAATTCATCCCTCCTATTAACTATTTTATATATATGTGATAATATTGACTGAAAATGCAAGTGATATGTATAAAATTAAATATATTTTGTTTAGTTTTGCATAAGTAAGAATTACTTTACTTTTTACCTAATAATTAAATTATTTAAATTTAAAACCTAAAATAATTGAATTATACCCTCCACCCTTCATTATTGTAAAGCAATTATTCGAACCTGTGAAACCATTTTATATAAACTTCAGGGATATATCTCAATTATAATTGGACGTACGACTGCCAAGTTTCACGAATCTGACTTTATTATTTTTCCAAATATTTAAAATTAGCTTTTGGAGTTAAATGGCAGGTACCTGAACCTGTCAAGCAATTCCACTAAAATTTCACAAATATATTTGATCTATAATTGGACGCACAACTGCCAAGTTTCGTGAATCTGACTTTATTATCTCTCCAAATATTTAGAATAAGCTTTTAAACTTGTATGGGAGCTACTCGAACCTGACACGCAATTCGACTAAAACTTCAGAAATATATTTGACCTATAGTTGCACATGACTGCCAAGTTTCATGAATCTGACTTTATTATTTTTCTGAATATAAAAAATTTGCTTTTGGAGTTGTATGGCAGCCACCCGAACCGATGCAGCTATCGCATTAAAATTTTTAGAGCATATGTAGAGTATAATTGGACACATGTATACAAAATTTTATATTTATAGCTTTATTAGTCTTTGAAATATTTAAAATAAACTCTTTGAGTTGTATGGCAGTTACCCGAACCCGTTGTCCGAATTAGTCCAATTATAATAGGGTTCCTCCTTGGCACAAAAGAAAAAACTTGTGAAAGTTTGGTGTCGATTGCATTATTCGATTTTGAATTATCGTGCGATCGGACGGACGGACGGACATTTCTAAATCGACGCAGAATTTTACGCTGAGCAAGAATATATATAAGTATATGTTCATACCGCAGATGTCTCCTTCAAGTAGAAAAAAACTCCATACCAAAGTCAATATACCCTCTAATATACCACGAAGTGCAGGGTATAAAAAAACACAAAATGCAGTTAGAATTTCTTGTTTCTAAAATCCGTTTTTTTCAAACTTTTGATCTCGTTTTTCTTTTAAACCGCAGGTTGTAGGAGTCTGCAATTTTAACAACTCTTAAACATTAATAAATACTTCATTTCGTTAGAAGAATTTTTTTTCCACCTCCACCCCCTCTCAAGTTATCGCCTCTCGAAATTTGTAAAATTTGAATTTTTGGCAACTTACATTTCCGAAACCGCAAGTTTTTTCATATTTTTATAAATGCAGAAAACTAACGGTGACGCAATTAACCCTTAAAATCGAGCGTTATGTTAAAGCCTTTTTAATTTTTTTTACTTTATTTCAAAAACTGCATAAATCGTTCATCCTAAATGTAAGCAATCCTTGAAATATTTTCGTATATGAATGAAAATAATTTTGACAGTGTGGTAGATTGTTTTTCAAGTAAACATCGATTGTTTTTAAAAGCAGTATTTTCACTTGTTGAAGAGAAAAGTGCTACGATACAAACCATTGGTTTGACCTAATTTTATTTTTGTTAATAAAAATACTTGTACATATGTATTTATTTGAATAAAAATATTTATTTTTCAAAAAAAAAATTACGTTTTTCCTAATGAAATTTACTTTTTTTATAAAATACGTTTTGTGAAAGTACACATTTTTCATTAGGAGCGTTTACTTTTTAAAGAAAATGATATAGGAACACCAAGAATAACTTACAATCGCGTAAATGTAATTTTTGACCCCAACATCGGTTTATTGATATTTTTGTAATACTGGAGCATATTAAAAACTAAGATATTAAATTAATAGTTTCCTGGCAACTTGGAGAAAAATCTATTTTTTTTTTCAAAAAGCTTAATGTGACTATCTCTTATTATTAGTAATACATACCCATGACAACTAAAAGACAGGAGCCATATACACGAAAATTGTTGTACATTATTTCAGGATCTTTAGTGAAATCACCGAATATAGATGCCCATGGTGCCATGTATGTCTATGGATATAGAAATGCAAATATATACGTCATAAATGAAAATATTGTGAAAAATTATTATAATTAAGTATACTTCTGAAATATTCTAAAAAGGCATCTTGAAATATTCTTTTAATATTATGACAGAAACATTTTTTTTTCCAAACCCTTGTTTTATACACAGAGTTCATGCAAGATCCTTTACAGATTAAAAAAAAATTTTTTTTTTCAATGGTTGATAATTTTTCGGAAATATAAAGAATCCTTTATATTTCCTTATATAATTATATTATATTTTTCCTTCCGAAAAGAATCCTTTACAGAGTTTTTTTAAAGATCCTTTACAAGTTCTTGTAAAGGATCTTTAAAAAAAAAGAGAGTAACCACTTTTTTAAGTCATACTCATACTTCGAAGAAGAGAATTTACTTATATTTTTCACTTCAATTTTTGTAAGAAAATAAATGCAAATATTGAAAACAACAACATTTAAATACTCTACTTTATTTTAAGAAAATTTGTTTCTTATAGTAAAGTAGAATTGATCTTTTCGGTTCTTTCTTTTTAGGTACTATCGAACTGGTGAAAGAAAAATTATAACAGTAATTGTTTTCTAAATCAAAAAGTATACCCCATATTTTAAAAAATTTATTAAGAATGGTAAATGACGAATTATATAACTTTAAGAAAATTATTACTTTATAACTGCTCCTTAACTTGTGCTAAAAGTTATATCGAAGTTGACCCGATCTCTACTTATTTTTTATTGAAAGTATTTTTTTTTTTAAACTGTTAAAGAAGTGAGTTCTTTTTATTTGAAAATATTTTTTTTGCGTAATTATAGAACTTAAATATTAAAAAATTTTATTTTTGCAGATTTATAGGTTATATGTATATATACATAAATGCAACCAATTACAACTTACTATTATTTTTATGCTACGATTTTTCTCAAACTTGAAATATTTTTGTTGCTTATAAATAAAATTTTTAACAACGCTTTAAAAATTTGTACATACTACGATTTTGAAACGTACTTTTTTTATTAAACAATCTATTTAATTGTTAGTAAATGGCGATAAGAAAGGCCTGTAACGATTGAATTTCTATTAACATTAGAAAATGTAGGTATGTATTTCTAAAAAAATTGATTTTAAACGAAAACTTCCCTCTTTTAGCAGTAGTATTTTGCAAATATCAAAATAAAACTCCAGAATTAATGTTTATGAAAATCTTTTTAAGTTTTTTTAGATACAAACGACTTAAAATATTAAAGAACGGTGAAAAATTTTTACCATTCATGTAAACTCTTTTGTAAAAAACATTTTTTCAAAAACCATAAAAGGAAAATGAGACTTTCTCTTTCTACGCGATGGCTTTATACTTGCCAGATCAGTGAACGAATTAGCCAAAATTCAAAAAATTAGAACAAACTTCTGAATGTTTTAAATCAAAAATTCAAAATTTGTAAATACTGGAGGAACAGAAAGATTAGAAACTACTTCCACTATGATAAAAAAGGCGTAGGCCTTTTAGGCTGTTGAACATAACCTTCAAATTAATTGTTATGTCATACTAGGTTTTCTTTAATTTTCAAAAACCAAATTCTTTTACTACACGGAAGCGAAGATGTGGCTTTAATATGAACAGTTTCTAGGTATCGTCAAATATTTTATTTTACTTGAACAAAAATTTTTTGTTTTCCTCCACTTCTGGGTTATTGCTCTTCAATTTAATAAACTATTTTCTTTTTACCTTCTCGACATCATAACCACTAGTGAAATTAAAAGCAAAAATATAATATTAACCAGTGACTTCCCAAATGTACTCTTAATGTTTTAACTAGGTTAACTAAGATTCAATAACAGAATATTATTTAAATATATCGTTTTCATTGATCGTAAGGCTTGTAATCTGTATATAAGCAAAAATTTTGGACTTAAAAACAAACCGTTGGTTTGTAAAATTTCGCTTTAATTTTATTTTGCTTTGGTTTATGAAAAAAAAATCAAATTTAAACTTTTAGTTTTGCGTATATGAAATTCGCACCGATAATTGTATATAACTAAAAGTTTAGTGTTTAAGAGGCAAGAAAATGTTAAGTAAGGCTTGGAAAATCTTGTTTTGAAAAAGTTATCAATATTGTATAAACATCAAATTTTGTGCGCTAATAATACGCAATTTCCCTTTTTCTTAAATTTATTTATTTTTATCAAAATATTTCGTTAATGGTTTTTTTATAAAAGTTTGTTTACGGGTTTCTACAAAAAGGTAAAAATGCTTCCAGCTTACAGTTTGAAATTATTGCGAACATGATTATAAGTTTTTATTCGTATCATCTTATCAACAATGGTTTCTTTGGTGATGTCAGCTCGAACGATGTAATTTTGATATTAGTTGTTAACCAGTAGATATAAATCTAAGCATCAAACTCAAGTAAGATGCTCTATCAAACTACTCCAACACAATTTCAATGCACAATCCTGTCTTTTCAAATGGTAAAATTTGAACAAAAAACTCTGTGTATGTACATACATATATGTATATGTTCAATAACAAAATGCCTTAGCAGTACACACTTGGTTTTGAAGTAATAATTGTAAGATTCTTACCAAAACAATTTCAACAGCTCCTACTATATACATTGCAGCTGCTAGTGTAGTCCCTGTGTAAAACAACATTCCAACAGCTCCACCAAACTCAGGTCCCAAAGATCTAATGCACCAAAAAAAAAGAAATATATGTATATATTAAAATTGAAATAGCTTTATAAGCACAAATTTCATATAGACAATGTATACTATAAAACACTATTACAATCACTTAGGTTAAGACAAACATTAAATCTGTTGAACAAAAAATAGACAAATCAAAATTACATAGAACAAAGTTAAAAAAGGCACTATCGAGTATAGCGAAAATTTTAAATACAAAAAAATCGGCGTAAGCTTATTTTAGCTTTAATGGTTATATAGAAATTTCTCGAATCTGTTAAACCAATACATAAAAAGTTCAAGAAAATTTTTGATCTAAAACCGCCAACCGCACGTAATTGCCAAGTTTCATCAAAATCAGTTTATGTCAATAGAAAATTAACAAGAATATTGATTAAGGACTTTGCAGATTGCCTGATTTTCTGAAAGTGTAAACATTAATGCATATGCTATAACTTTGCATGAGGTTTAAAAAACTCCTTCATCCAGTTTTAAGCATTATTCAATTTTATGCTGCCAATTAGAAATTTACTGCCAAATTAGAGATTCAACCATTTAGTTATAATTCGCTTTTTATACATAAAGTACTTGTAATTCCATTTACTAAATTTGCGGATCGTACTGTGTTAACTTATTTTAGAAGAAGTGATGTAAAATGTACGGTCAATCTCAATCATAAAACGGTAAATCTTAATCATGTTTAACAAATGTAAACCAAGTATTTGTTATAAAACCGAACTATAATTTAGTTTTTCGAAACCAGTTTTAAATAATTTAAGACCTTATTGTCGCGCCCTGAATAGTGTCAAATTCCCAATAAATATTTCTGGTTTATTGATACTTGACTAACTATTGCTTCTTGATTAAAAATCCTACTTCTTTTAAATATATTACTTTGCGCAAAGATTCTGAATTTTGTTGGTCTGATCGTTAACCCAGTTTACTGAAATATTATAAGGCCTTAGGAATAATATAGGGCACCTTTATCGTTTACATTTATATTTTTAACATTTACATATATTATTAACATTTATTTATTATTATAAATTACTTCAATAAACGGTTTATATTATGTTTTTTTTCATTCAAAAATTTGATATTATGTGTGGGCTAAATTTTGTTTTATTAACATTTTAATCTTGCTTGTTTCTCAAAGCATACAAAAAGAATTGTTGGTAAAAAAATGTTCCTCTTTTTACCGACCGCATTGTGTATACAATAAGTCGGCTATGTGGTGGAAACAATTTTGCATATCGAGTTTTCGGTGAGAATGCACTTCTCTATGGTAGGGATGTCTAAAGAAAACTATTTTTAGCAACCTGTACGGTCTGTGCATTCACGCGTGTATCTCAAGTTCGACTGAACCGATTTTGATGAAATTTCATATGTAAGTTTATTTCGACCATGGATCAACTTCCTGAACTGCACTTTTTAGCGGGCCTGTCTTACATTTTTGACCATTTTGAAGAAAATATTCAGCCGATTTACTTGAAATTTCATATATAAGCTTCGCTCGGCCGTTCGCGAAACCTCCTAACTTTTGGAAGAAATCAGGTGTCAGCAAGTGGACTTTTACTACGGGCCAAATTTACATATTTGCGTATATAAAGAGAAATTATCAACCGATTTTATTGAAATTTAATATTTAAATTCTTCGTACTAAAAAAATAAACATATCATTTTTTTGGATAGGGCAGATCTCGAAAACTGATCTGCGGGCCAATTTTACGGACTGATGGAATTTCCGAAAATTTAATATTTGATAGTGTTAAAATAGTTATAAATTTTTTTATTTAACAGCGTTAAAATACTTATATAAGCCTTGAAATTTCGGCTGAAAATTTAGTTTTATTTTTTTTAGTGATTTTAAAATTCGTAAACATATATTTTAAACTTTTTCTGAGACGAATAAATTTATAATTTTATAATATTTTTTGTATTTATATTACGCTATCTCTTAAAATCTAGACGGTATTTAGTCCTAACGCTTAAAATTCGGCGTTCCTTCACAGTATACGTTATATTACACATAAACATATTATGTAGGTCAAGAAACCAAAGAAATTGGTTGTTAATTAAGCGGTTATTTGAAAACTGAACATAACGAATAGTTATGATAAGCCCACATAACCGACCGCAGAAAGTATTTCCTAATTGGCGAAAATGTTGCACAAGATTATGGAAATTTTCATGTATTAGGGACGCTAGTATGATTTTAGTTATTATAACTAAAAAAATGGAAATTTGGCTCTTAGAAGGCGTCTACTTTATGCATTACGATGGCAACGCATGAACCAGATACGTTTCGGTAGCAAGCAGAACACAAATATTAAATTTCAAGAAATTCCATTAATTAGTTCTTACATATTGTAAAAACAGAAAAATGGAAAACTTACAAAACTTCAGTTTTAGAGTCCTGATATTCCCAAAATATATCTAAGTTCATTGTTTTAACACCAATTCAAAAGAAATTGGTTAATTATTCGTCTTCATATGAACAAAAAAACTTAAAATTTGGCTTGTAGTAAAAGTTTCAATAAAAATAATAAAATTCACATTTTTTATCAAAATAACGGTTCTTAAAAGTGTCAACGGTTTTTTAGAATGATAGTACATTAAGAAATTGATCGTAAATGAGAAATAGAGCTTTTAAAATCAATAAAAATAAAAAATAATGACAATTTTTTGGTTTTTCCTGAAGTTCGAACGATTATTCCGAAAGTACACAAAATACATAATCAAGCAAGATGTTTATTTTGAGCCTTTCACTAGACCTTTCAGAAACTGTCTGTTTGAAGCCCCTATCTTTTTCGGAACGGAAGTTATAATCAAAAAAGCTTAGAAAACTTAAAAATTCGTCAAAATTCGTTAAAATACCTGTATCTCGAAAACTCTTGAGATTTCGTACCTACTCCGGAACAAAAGTTTTACGAATTTTCGACCCTCTAACCAATGGTATGTGTTGTTGTATACCTTTCTGAATCACCCTGTATATAAATTTTCATTACAATCGGTTTAGCCGAAATTAAGAAAATGCGAAATTTGGTGCAATCAAATAGCCTCCCTTATTTACTGACCCTGTGCAGTAAATAAAGTTAATAAAAAAAGAATAAGAAATTAAACAGTAATATTAAAGAATTGCTTGTATAAAAATTGTACCCACCAGTGTTGGAATCAGTAAACTTTAGAAGGGCTCAATTTTAGTTGAAAAAAGTGCCAAAAAGGGCCTTTTTTAAAAAGCCTTTTAAAAAATCTTTTACGCATTTATCACAGCTGGGGATAGCCACCTATTTCTGAATTTGGTTTTAATTTTTGTAAAATTATTATGTGAAATAAGCTGTTTCAGCTGCTGCTATAGAAAAAAACTGACAAGCTCTTTGTCTAACTCGCGCTTGGCAACATAATTTCATTTAACTTAATGCTTACATTAAAAATCTGAAAAATTCTTGCTATATTAGAAGCTCCGGTATAGCAATTGAGTTCTGGTTGTTACCGGAACTAACTGGCGAGCATTTCAGTGAATTCGGGTAGCACAAAGGGAAACTCTACTAAGAGCCAAATTTACATTTTTCTAGGTATGTTAACTATAAGCTTACTAATCCCCTAAAAGTTGGAAAGAAGTATTCAACAGGCTTTTTTATAATATTCTGTAACAGTTTCACTTAACCAGACAATACACATTACGATCGTTTATGTGCTGATCACATCAAATTTTTTATTTTATGTTCATTAACGGATTGATCAACTTTTGGGATATATCAGTTCGCGTGAATTTATAATATTCGACCAATAATATTATTTAGAGTATTTCATTCTTTCAAAATTGTTTTATAAATATTTGAAGAAAACTTTCAAAATAAAAGAAACAAAAAGTAGAAACATATATTTATTTTTTACCTTGATATCATAAAATAACTGCCACCTGCCGGCACCACTCCATTCGTAGCAATAGCAGACATTGATATAGCTGTCAACATAGTCTAAGATAAAAAAGAAAGGTTTATACAAAGGTAACCATAGTAAACAATTCAAATATAAAAATAAAAAAAAGGCGGGTTAAAAAAAAACAAGCGGATGAGAATGCAAAAAAAAATGCAATATTAGCTTATCTAAATGTAATAAACAAAACAAACGAACTGATTAGTTCAAAGTATTACTCTTATTTATAATAAAACAATTCATAAAATTGTGTTCACAGGACGCTTTATATAACAGTTCTTTATTTAAGAATTATAAATTTTTTATAATTCTCATATTTTTATAATTCTTTACAGTTTTTCTAACAGTTATCTAATTCAATCAATCGATCTAAAACAGTTACAGTATTTTATGATTCCTATCTTTAGCCTACCTTTTTAAAACTGACTCTTAAAGAATAATCTACTTTGCTGTGGTACAGGAGCTGTTTTGATTTATGAGTCTCAAGATCTATATCCAGCTGAAAAATGAAACGAAAATACAATCAATCTTTTCTTCGTACATATCTGCTGCATCGAGTCCTTTCTTACAAATTGCTTTATTTCCTATTTTATGCCTTGACGCCATTTCGCAAGCAAATATAAAACTATAACAATTCGCAAATTAAATTCGCGAGACAAGAAAATAGTTTTGCAGCATATTTTGTATGTATATCCTTGCGAATTTAGTAAAAGTTATAATAAAAAGTCAAATTTTTATGTAGAAAGTGTATAATTATATTTTATTAAGTTTCATCATCATAATCATTTTCGTCAGACAATACAAATACTAACATAAAATTTAGTTTTTTATTTTCAAAATATATAGCGTAACGCGTACAAATATTGACACTCTGAAAAATTGATACAATTGTGAATGCCCAAATTGGAGTAGCGCATTTCGAGTAATTACCAAAATTAATTATGGATTCTAATTATTTGACATTTTCTTCATTATTTGTTTTTTATATAACAAATTTTAATCAATAAGTAGGCTTTTTTTTAAAGAATAAAAAATGAATATTACAGAATTTATTTTAGGCAAAAAAATTATGAAAATCATCATTAAGAACTTAAATATGTAAATTTAGTAATTTTTAAGGTTCCTGCGATGTTTTTAATATAATTGTTGCGCTTTTGGAATGAATGAGCGTTTAATTTTATATAAATGTATGTAATCAAAAATTAGAAAAAATTTACTTTACGGTTATAAAGTAGGGATGTCAATAATTGATCAAATTTTCGATAAATTTCTATTATCGACATGAGGTGTCAATAGCTATATGGAAGTCAAAAATTGCACAATTCGCAATAAAAACAAAAGAGCGCACTCAATTGAGTTATTAACTCTTATAATGAGAGTTAATCTCCATTAAAAGAGTTTTTAAAACATAAAACTCTCATAACAGAACTAGTATAAGAGTGAGTTAAAGCATATAACTCTTATACCAAATCTAGTATGGGAGTTACGAAAACTCTCACAAGCCACTTATAATGGTGTTACTAGAAAGAGAGAGCAATACATTGTAGAATAAATACATCGGTCTTACTTCGAACTTTATAAAAAAAAATGTCTATTCTGCTTTTAATAATATTATTTTTTTAACAAAAATGATTTTGTTTCATATGTTTATATATATGATATGTCATCAATAAATATTTGTATTCAAAAATTCAATATCATAAAATTATAAATATGGGAAATTGAAACAATTTTTGTGCTATGATTATAAATCAAAAAATTGCTGGCTCTAAAATTTTATTGATAAAACTAAAACTAATTAAATTTCTGGCTCTAAAATTTTACTGCCTACTAAAAATAATTAAAATTAAAAAAATTTTTAAACGTATTTTTTAATCCTATATAATATCTTATTCCTTCTTTTTTACATAAATTTTAAAATTCAAGAATTGTTAAGCAAAAAAATAAATATACTAATGTGCGTAAGTTCCAACAAAAGCTTTATCATATTCAAATAAAATTATAATTTTGCATTTCAATAATTTTAATTCAATAATTTCTGTACAATAAATATTTTTCGAATTTTTTTCCAAAAAAAGAATTCTCAGTCTCATTAGGGTTAGAATTTAGATAAGGAAAAATAGCAATACTAAAATGACTGTGCCTAATAACTAGACTTATGAAAATTAAATTCCTAAATATATATAGAGGTACATATATCATTATTCGTTCCCGTTTGTAACACATAAAATGAAGTTGACACTAATAATTCTCGAGCCCTTAGTTAAAAAAAATATTTCTGATGCTTACTTTTTATATAAATGAAAGAAATAACATTATAAATGTCATTAAAATAAGTCAACGAAAAGCAAAAACAGCAATTTCACAACGAATTATTAAATTAATTACAATTTATATAACATTTAAGATATAAATATATATACTGATATATACTGATTGCTTAAACCCGTGTATAATTTATAAACATATTTTTGCGTATAAAATACGTCATGTTATGACACTTGCTTATAAAGGAATTCTTTAAGAACAAAATTCTACAAGAGTTGACATTTTATAAAAAATACTTTACGAGAATTAAAAATTTTTTAAAGTGTGCTGAAGGTAGTTCTGCTATGAGAGTAGCAGAATTTTTAACACTACAAGGGTTAAGTCTTTATTATAAGAACCTTAAGAGAATTGCATAAAAAGAAAAAAAGAAAAAATAGAGTTCACGATGTCAACTCGGTGATACTCGTACGAATGTGTTATCCTAAATATGCCATAGATGACTATGGGATAGACTATGAGTTTAAGTTGTCATATTAACATATTAATGTAAGCAAAATTTCAGTACTGCGTTTTCTATAGTTTCTAAGATATGGCCAAACTACTATTGAAGTTGTATAGCTACTACCACAAAGAGCCAAGCAATTTCAACGACTTTTATCAATCACATTGGCCCTACTATCATACTTGCTTGTGTGACATTTCAATATCAGCTTCTATAATTTCATGGATAGAGCCAAGTAACTTTTGAAGTTGTATGGCAGTAGGGCACATCGGCCCTACTTATATATTTGTGCAAAATTTCAATGCCACAGCTTTTATAGTTTCTGAGAAATACCCAAATAACTTTGGAAGTTGTATCACAGCTATCAGAAGGAGTAAAGCAATTTCAATAATATGAAAAGAAAACTTCCTTTTATTCGGAATAAAATACTTTTTTTATTTTTTGCTAATATATTTCGTGCGCTAAATACGCACTTTATCAAAGCTAATTTTCTTCTAATTAAGACAACAAACAATAAAAATTGAAATCTTTTAAAATTAGAATATTACACCTGACTTAACCTAATTATCTACTTGACTTAATCTAAAATTTAATTATTATTTTGTTATTAATTACAAACTAAAATTATACTTGTTTTAATCCCTTAAACTGGACAAATAAATAATTTAAAGAGTAGGCAATCATTGTTTGATTTGTATATCTGCATGCTTTAATGAACTTCTCTCCTGCGTTTTCCTTTTACCTCGCTTAATACCATTAGGTTATCTTCCATAATTATGTGATCCGTTTCATAAATGTGTTTTGCAACCATTGAATCGAAATGCCTGTCAAATCCTACTCTCCTTACATGTTTTATTTCACTTAAATGTTCCTTAAGTCTTGTTATAACGGGTCTCTTCGTTTGTCCTATGTAAAATTTATCGCAATTATTACAATTGATTTTGTACACACCGCATCTTTCATGTATCTTCAATTTATCCTTAGCCGAATTTAACAAACTCCTAAGTTGATATTTACTATTGGTTTCCGATGTCCGAATATTGTGTTTCCTTAGTTGTTTATTTATCAAGTTTGTACAGTGATGATCATAACTTAAAGATGCCCATGTTGTTCTTTGTTCTTCCAATGTGCTGTTCTGTTTAAACAATGTGTTCATATTCTCCTGCTCAATTTTTCGTTTTTTCTTCCTAATGAGTTTGTTAATATGTTCAGCAGAATAACCGTTCTGCACAGCCGTGTCCAAAATGAAGTTTACTTCTGACCTATAGTCGTGTCTGTCCATCGGTGTGGTTAGTATTCTATGGATCATAGAGTTGAACGCCGCCATTTTATGTTTCGTCAAATGGTACGAATCCTTTGGAATGCATCTTTATGTTGTTGTTTTCTTCCTATATAACTTGAATCTAATTTTTTCAGATTTTCTTTTCACCAGTATGTCCAAAAAAGGTAACACTCCATTTTCCTCAATTTCGAATGTAAATTCGATGTTTCTATGTAATTTGTTGATGCATCTGTTTATATTCTCCAGTGCTTCTTTGTTCACTATCTCGAAGACGTCATCAAAATACCGCATCCATACTCTAGGCATCAGAGAATCCTCTAGGCATCCGAGAATTTATGTTCAAATTGGAAAAAAGAATAAAGGAGGATTCTCTAGTTTTATCTAGAAGGAGGATTCTCTAGATAGTTTGTAAATAATAACAAAAAACAAAAAAAATAAATAATCCAATTCTAGATTAAGTCAGGTAGATTATTTTAAGTCAGGTATAATATTTCTAATTTTAATATATTTCAATTTTTATTGTTTGTTGTCTTAATTAGAAGAAAATCAGCTTTGATAAAGTGCGTATGTAGCGCACGAAATATGTTAGCAAAAAATAAAAAAAAGTATTTTATTCCGAATAAAACGAAGTTTTCTTTTCATACCGATAAAAAAAAAAAAGAATTATATTAAATTATCAACCATTGAAAAATATTTTTTTCAATTTCAATGACTTTTAGCAAACACATTGCACACAATAAAATAAATTTTGAAGTTGTATGGCAGCTACCCGAACCAGTACCAGGAGCTTTTACGTTATGACATTTGAAGTATACTTTTACTTCCTGTAAATTGAGATTTGGGAAACCAGTGATCAATACATACGTGAAAGGACTATATCAATCGCATACAGATAAAATTAATATTGTATAACTTCTATTATCCACTTGTCCTAGTTGTATAAAACATTAGTTTTAAAATATGTTTTTTTTTTTTTTTTTTCTTATAAA